ATGAAAAAGTAAGCGTAAAAGAGAACGAAATCGGAATCCCAAAGGATCACAAGTGTACTATCAATAACACTGAAAAAGGACAGCTACTGTCCATCCGAAAACTGAAACAAATTTTAAATATATGCTTTTTCTCTTTGTTTTCTCTCTCTTTCTCTCTCTCTCTCTCTCTCTCCTCTATTTATTGTCTATTTACAACTGTTAGATGCACCTAGTTTTTGGATTCTTGCTTTGTTTTTGTTTGCCTTAAATTTTCAAAGAGAAAGGGGAAGCGGAGATCTCTGAAAAGAAAATCCTTGGTATCTGCAGTCCAGGGAAAGCAATTCGTCAGTCTACAGGTGGAGGGTCACCTCCCTGTCTCTGCAGCTAAAGGGTGGAAATTCTTTCTTTCTGCTTAGAGGAAATCTCAGGCACGGCCCACGTCCTTCTTCAACAGATGCCTCCAGCTTCCTTTCGGTTTGGCACGGAAGTCAATGTTCAACCAACCTGTCCAGGTTTCTCTCTTTCACTCTCTCTCTCCCCCTTCGGTGTCCCCTCCCCAAGTCCAATCAGATGTAGGCCTTCAAGGGAACGAGATGCTTCCGGCCCCAACAGGTCTCTTGGTCCAGAATGCTGGGTTGTGGACGGGCCGTTGGACTCTAACCCGTTGCTGGGATTTGGGAGAAGTTCAGCTTCGGTCCTCATATAGCACCTTGTATGGGAAGGAGGTATGTTCCTGCCGGATGAATTCAGGAGGGGAGCGCACAGACTCTCTTGCTCAGGAACCAATGCCAGCATCTCTCTCACTTTGCCCATTGGTCAGTCCAGCCCTTTCCCCTTCCTTGTCACTCACGTTCCCCCCCCCTTCCCTGTGTTTAGAAAGAAGCTGCCAGCCCAACATGTGGGGTCTTGTCAGGCCATGTTAGTCTTGATTTATGATGGAACTAAGGAGGTGACCGAGGATGGCATTTTCCCCCAAGGGTTGAATTTTTTAGGAAGCATCTTCTGATAAAAATTAATGGAGGTTTCACTTGCGCTCTCTGAGGCATAAAACAGCAAACGAACAGGCTTAACTGACGCTCTTGGTACCTTCCCCTCCCCCAATAAATAAACAGGCAGAGAAGTAAGGGAAAAAAAGGGTGTTCATTGCACTGCTAGCTTGTTCCCAATTCCCTGGCATTTACCCACTTCTGCTTCTTTTCTCTCTCTCTCTCTCTCTCTCTCTCTCTCTCTCTCTCTCTCTCTCTTCCCCCCCCCCCATTTGTAGAGTGGTATTAGTACCACTCTACAAAGTCTTGGTAATACCACACTTGGAATATTGCATCACGTTTTGGTTGCTCCAATACAAAAAAAAATATGCTGAGACTTTGGAAAGAATCCAGAGAAGAGCTACAAAAATGATCAGGGGCCTGGAGGCTAAAACATACAAAGAACGATTGCAGGAACTGGATATGTTGAGACTCTAGAAAGAGTACAGAGAAGAGCAACAAAGATGATCAGGGGACTGGAGGCTAAAGTGTATAAGGAATGGCTGCTGGAATTGGGTATGTCTAGTTTAAAATGAAGAGAAGGACGAGGGGAGACATGATAGCAGTGTTCCAATATCTCAGGGGCTGCCCCAAAGAAAAGGGAGTCAAGCTATTTTCCAAAGTGCCTGAAGGCAGGACAAGAAGCAATGGATGGAAACTAATCAAGGAGAGAAGCAACCTGGAACTAAGGAGAAACTTCCTGACAGTGAGAACAATTAACCAGTGGAACAACCTGCCTCCAGAAGCAGTGAATGCTCCAACACTGGAAGTTTTCAAGAAGAGACTGGACAGCCATTTGTCCGAAATGGTATAGGGTTTCCTGCCTGAGCAGGGGGTTGGACTAGATGACCTCCAAGGTCCCTTCCAACTTTACTATTATTATTATTATTATTATTATTATTACCTAGTCTAGAGAAAAGAAGGATGGGGTGACATGATAGCAGTCTTCCAATACTTGAAGGGCTGCCACAAGGAAGAGGGCCCCAACTTATTTACCAAAGCACCTGCAGGCAGGACAAGAAGAAACGGATGGAAATTAACCAAGGAGAGAAGCAACCTAGAAGTAAGGAGAAAATTCCTAACAGTGAGAACATTTAACTGGGGGAACAACTTGCCTTCAGAAATTGTGGGTGCCCCAACATTGGAGATTTTTAAAAAGAGACTGGACAGTCATCTATCAGAAATAGTACAGGTCTCCTGTGAGAGCAGGAGGTTGGACTAGATGACCTCCAAGGTACCTTCCAACTCTGTTATTGTTACTATTTACAGCAACGGGGGCAATGCCATTCTTAAAGTGTCTGCCCATTTCAACAGGTCAATGTGTAAAAAGGCAAAGGCAACTCATAAAAATGTTGCTGTGGAAAACTCAGTGTGAGTCTGTCTCGTGTGTATTATAAAAGCAGGACACAAAACGTTTGCCCCTTTATCGTTCGTCTGGCTGAGAAATCTGTCCAAAATTTCCGCTGTTGTGGCGTAAATACAAAATAAGCAGGAACCAGGGAATTCCTCCTGTTTGAAGAGGCAGCCAGGTTTTCCTGCTGCACCTGAATATCCACAAAAGGAATCAGGAATGAAAAGAAATGGGGTGACTTCGCTTTCATTTTCTTTTCCCAAAGGATTTCTTTCACAAAGTCAGGGAGACACAGCTTTACTGAGCATCTTGCTCTGAGCATCTTCCTTCTCATTCTGTATCCCCCGGTAACATTTCGGAAGCTAAAATGTATGATGGAATATTTTCTTAGCTGACAGCAAGTAAGGAACGAAGTCAAAAATGACACGACTTGCATCTCAGCATCCACGTTAGCTTACAAAAGGTACATAAAAGGCAAGTTCCACCTTAGCTCATTTGAAAATTTGGATAACTTGTTTTGATGCATATCGAGGCAACTTCACCGCACAAATTCTACCGGTGGAGCTCGGGGGGGGGGGTGTCTCGTAGCAGCAGCCTGATGCTCCCTGTCTAATTAAGTGTGTTTAATACAGATTAAAGACCAGAAGTCAAGACAAGAACCAATGGATGGAAACTAATCAAGGAGAGAAGCAACCTAGAACTAAGGAGGAATTTCCCGATAATTAGAAAAATTAACCAGTGGAACAGCTTGCCTTCAGAAATTGGGGGTGTTTCAACACCGGAGGTTTTTAAGAAGAGACTGGACAGCCATTTGTTTGGAATAGTATAGGGCCTCCTGCTTGAGCAGGGGGTTGGACTAGAAGACCTCCAAGGTCCCTGCCAACTCTGTTATTCTGAGATAGTGCAATATAATTGAGAGAATGCAATGTTGGAAAACCACTGGAGCTTTTCAAAAATAGACTGGACAATCATTTGACTGGGATGGTATATAAGGACTCTATGCATAAATATATTTTCTAAAAAAAAAAGTACATTCTATAGGGCACAAAAATGGGACTGCACACAACTCTTTCCCCAATATATATTATGATCTAAGAGTCCTAGGGTGGCTGGGGTTAAATATTTGGGTAGTTTTATCCGTTTGGGCCACAGCAGGTGAGTTAAGAGGCAAAACTCTCGACATGGGGGATTTGCTGAGCAATGGCTACAATCTGGCTATACTCCCCCCACCCACCCCCAAGCCTCTTTGACTACCACTTTCGGACATTTCGTGTGGTCCTCCAAAGGATGCTCGCAAAAGGCATCTTTTGCAAAGGGAGTTGACTTCATTTAAATATGCAGCATTTCCCATAAGGATAAGCTTTGGGATTATGGAGCCAACCATCCCCCAAACCAAAAGCTCATTGTTACTGGCCTAGGGTACGCTTGGATGTTGGCCCCAATCTTAGGAGCACTCAAGCGGGCCAACTGACCAGGATTCTGAGAAGCACTTTGGCCCATCAGCTGGGAGAGGTGGACTTTCCATAAATTCTTTGAAACGATGCAGGAAAGGCTTTTGCAATGCGTTCTACAATCCCCCCCCCAATTCAAATGAAATGGATCAAATCCCCAAAGAATGTGTAACTGAAACGGGGAATGACTTAATTGGTATTACAGGGGAATGGAGGAGTCCCACGGAGGAAAAGGAGATGATTGCAATTAAAAAGACTGCATCAGCAGCAGCCAAAGGCATACTTTCTTGCATAATAAAAATTCATATAATCTCTCTTCCCACCCCACACTCGGATACAGTTGCCTGTGTGCTTCTGGGCTGCAGCCCCCTCTTTTCCAGAGAATTTGCAGGGCGGAAGAACCGCAGAGCTGGCGTTCCTCTACCACTGCATTTAAAGCAACACAAGGATCAGTGGCACGGTACAGAGGAGCATCGGATCAGAACTAAAGAATACAGGGCACAAAGTGCAGCTCATTCCCAACAACCCAACTGAACCAATCCTGGACATTCATTGCTGGCGAGGTAGTTGCTCCAGCCAAGCTCTTTCCAGAGGAACAAATGAGAATTTGATCCTTCTCTCCCTGGGTCTCTGACAGGCTCCATCCAGGGCGCTCCGAGAGAAAGGGATATAGGAGAGGAAGGGGTTTAAACACCTCTCCCTGCACCCAGATGCTTTTAGAAGACAGTATCTGTAAATGAAATCTCAAAACAAATATGCACCTCCCTGGTCCTGGATGGAGCCTGTCATAGGCAGAGCACAAGGCAAAATATGAATCATTCTGGAACACCATTTCTGTAGCAAAAAAACCTTCAAGAACAAATCTTAACAACATTTCCAATGATGCCAAAAGAAAGAAAGTTACATGATTCGAAATACTTGGTGCTTCCTAAAATAATGCAGCAGATACTGTTTTTTTCCCCTAAAACAAGTATAACAAAAAATGTTTTTGGTCCTTCAAAATTTCATTCATATATATATATATCTATATATATCTATCTATATATATATGAAATTTCATTCATATATATATATATATAATGTTAAGTTTCAACAGTGCTTCTCCAAAAAAGGTCCATCTATAAATATATTTTTTATTAATTTTTTAATTTTTTTTAAATTTTATTTTAAAACTCTCCCCCTTCACTCTATATATTATTTTTTGAATGGCGTTAACCTGCTGAAGTTTTGCCAGAAAGGTGACTGGCTGCGTTTCGGTTCGGTGAACTCATAGACCTGCGGTTGGGCTATGCCATCGGTGACCAAGTATTGTCCCTGATTTAGTGGCTCCTGGGGAGGTGGGTATGTCGGAGGAACGGATCGGGAGTAGCCGACGCCTGGATGGGAGGAGGAGGAGAAAGGAGGAAGGAGAAGAAAAAGAGGTCCATCATAATGCAAGGATTAAATGGAAACACACATTCAAGAGCCCTGGTGGTGCAGTGATTAAAATGAAGGGGTATAGGGTTTCCTGCCTGAGCAGGGGGTTGGACTAGAAGACCTCCAAGGCCCCACCAACTTTTTTATTCTATTCTGTTCTGTTCTAAATATGGAAGTGTATCTTAGATGGGACTTCCTTTTGGGGGGGGGCTTGGAACAATTGGAACAATTGGTTCTCACCGTTCCCACTTATTCTATTCTATTCTATTCTATTCTATTCTATTCTATTCTTCATTATTCTATTCTATTCTATTCTGTTCTGTTCTATTCTGTTCTTCATTATTCTATTCTTCATTATTCTATTCTATTCTATTCTTCATTATTCTATTCTATTCTATTCTTCATTATTCTATTCTATTCTATTCTATTCTGTTCTGTTCTGTTCTATTCTGTTCTTCATTATTCTATTCTATTCTATTCTATTTTCTCTTCTCTTCTCTTCTCTTCTATTCTAAATTCCATTCTATTCTATTCTATTCTATTCTATTCTATTCTATTCTATTCTATTCTATTCTATTCTATTCTATTCTATTCTATTCTTCTACATTCAAGAAATAAAATCCAGGGCACCGTTATGCAAGCCAAAGCCAGAAGGCTTATGAGGGACTCCTGCTGAATTATAACCTTCATTCGCTGCCTTATAGCAAAACAGAGCGTTAGTCCAACAGCAGCGTTTGCCTAAGGAAGCCTGTAGAAACCTTTTGAGGAGCTGAGATTGAACTAACGTCGTTTCATGTCAGCTTGGTGCTCCCTGAGCTGTGGTCCTCCCAGGCCTAAATAAAGATCCAGAAAGCATGGAAGATAATAAAGGAGACTGAACGAAATGAGAGAAAGCAGCCAGGTCAATCCACTATGAAAACGGACACACCAAGCGCAGTTACGGCTAAGAGATAAACCCCATAAAACCATTCGCACTATAGCTCCAAACCGGAGCGACATTCCCATGAAATGCATATAAACAGATGCATAAATACGTTAATGTGCGTAAACAGATTTTCAGTACTGATGGAAGAGAATATTCCTAGCTCAGGATTGAACTGTGCGGTCCTTGGTGCTCTTCGAGATTATTTTACTTGCAGACGTTTCATTACCCAACTAGGTAACATCATCAGTGGTAGAAGGGAGGGGGAGTTGTGTATATATGAGTGCCTTCCCCTGCCAGTGTTGGTGGGAGTGGTCTTAGCGGTTTCTTGATTAGGCTGCTTTCATTAGACTGACAGTTGATAAAATATAAAATACGAGGTACATTTCCCTCCCTCTTCTTCCTTCTATTTTAATTTATATTTTTAATTTGTTTGGAGTTGCCTCTTTTCCTTTTTAAAGACTTCTGTCATTTGTGTAAATAGATAGAACACAGACTCAAGGGGCTGGAACGGACCTCAGAGGTCATCTAGTCCAACTTCTTGCAATATGTTAAAAACATCCTGATGAATCAGGCTTAAAAAAACAACCCACAAGTTTTCCCCAGAGTGATTTGCCAGACACATTTGGAAAACAAAACGTCAGTCCATTTCCCTGCAACTGCACTGACAGACGGTATAGGTTCTCCTGCTTGAGCAGGGGGCTGGACTAGAAGACCTCCAAGGTCCCTTCCAGCTCTATTCTATTCATTCATGTGGACTTTATGCTTCCATTATGAAGATCGTACAGAGCCGGTTGGACAAGTTGCCACTAATATTCTTATTCCCTGGAAATATTCTAGTTCCCAGGAAAGCCACTCAAGATGTTGGCCGCTGCATCCGGTAGTAGCAAATTCCATATATTATCTATGCACTGAACTTGATCTGGTTAATAAATCACAGGGAATCTACCCATCCTACCAGATCAGATAGGGTGGGCACCCTTCCCCTCAATATTGGGATCTAGGAAGTGTGGCTTTTCTGTGGCAGCCCGTGTGACTTCCTGCATCCCGGATTTTGATCACGTGACCATGGGGATGCTGAAATGGTCGTAAGTGTGAAAAATGGTCATAAATCTTTTCAGTGCTTCTCTAACTTTGAACTAAATGAACTGTTGAAAGTTGAGGATCACCTGTATTACCTCTGCTGTGAAGTCTCCCAAGACAGACAGAATAGTATAGATATCCTTAAGCATACAGTTACAAATTTTGGAGGCTACAATGAAAATACATCAACAGTTAGTGCAGACATGGTTAATTGGCCAGTCTGGACTAATATGATTAATTTATTATTATTATTTTTCTTTCTGGCTTTATTTTCTTTGAGATGCTGATCTTTGCTCATCATCATATATTTGATTCGTCTTTAATCATTTCCATATTCATGCCTTCAACTGAAAAAGAAAAAGCCACTTGACTTCACGCCATTGAATTCATCGAAGTTGAAAAGACAAGGATGGCTTTTCTGAAAGGCAATTCCCAATTCTGCAAAAACAGCCAAGGCTGCATAAGGAAGGGATGGGAAGCTGGTGGTGATAGAAATCAATTAATTTATATTCAAAGAAGCCTAGTTCAATAAGACGCCACCGTTTTCCAAGGGGTCCACAGAGATATTGGGATAATCAGAGAGCGATTGCTAAGTTAAGCAGATAAATGCAATTAAGTACTCAATATTTCTCTGGATGAAGGTGCAAAACAGCCTTACTTATCTGATGCCCTCGAGAAGACAGGAACTCTACCTCCCACCAATCGCAGCTAGCCTATCATTTGCAAGATTTACAAAGATCAGGAGGATTGTTGTCCATTATTTCTGGAGAGCAGTGTATTGTAGGAAACTGGTCTGAAGTCAACTCGCAACCCGAATTATATTCGGCCGCTTAAATTACATTAGGCAAAATCTGAAGCTTTTTCTGAACATGAACCGTCTTCTCATATACGAGATTCTTTTGTGCCTTCTTAATCCATTTTTTTTAAATCTTACGCCACTGCAGGAATGTGTTCACTTGAGGGCCATGCCAGCTTTCTGTGGTGTATTGATGCCTGCAATCCAAAACTGGAAAGTTTCAGGTGGTTTAAGAGGTAAAATGAACACCTGGAGACTTTAAGGTACCCGTATTGCCCTTCAATCTCCACTCCCCAAATAATAATTTTAAAAAAGCTTAACACGGTGGTGCCATTTGGCCTGATCCATTTATCCACCCTTTCTCCAGAGCTCCAGCTGTTTCAAAGCAGCAGGAAGCCACATCCTAGCCACATCACAAGCAAGAGTAGCCAAGCCAAGCCAAGCCGTGGCACAATTTGATCCATTGTCTGTTCTCCAGGCCAGAAAGAATTCAGTCCCCAATTTCCTAGCCCAACTACCTAGACCAGGGGTAGGCAACCTTGGCTCTTTTATGACTCATGGACCTCATCTCCCAGAATTCCTGAGCCAGCATAGCTGGCTCAGGAATTCTGGGAGTTGAAGTCCATGAGTCATAAAAGAGCCAAGGTTGCCTACCCCTGACCTAGACAGACAAAGAAAGAAAGACAATAGAGGGTGTACGGCTGATGGAAACCTTGCCAGATCTTAAAACTGCAAGGTTAATTTAATGGAGGCAGTTTTATTTTCCTTGTCAAAGACTGTAGATTCTTCCATTAAAATGGATCAAGTGGCTGCCTGATCTTTAGCTGGGAGCTTGGGGGAGACCGAGTGATTGTCCAATTCTCACAAATGCTGACCTTGGTTGTCCCATCATCTGCTTTGCTGTAAGGCAGCTTTTGATGGCTTCACCTGCCCTGCAGGAGCTGAAGGAGCAACCCTGTCTTTCTCAGGAGATAATCATCTCAAGGATTGGTCAATTCAGTCTATTTGTTTACTTCTGGATTTATATCCTGCCTTTGGGACAGGAAGCTGGGTACAGGGTGCCCTCATCCCATTTCCCCCCACAATATCGGGTCTAGGAAGTGGGCTGGGCTGAGGGAGGGTCTCCATGGCTGAGGGGAGACTAGAAGCTTAGATTGTCCCTCTCTTAGACCAACTCTTTCAGCACAACACCATGCTGGCTCTCGCGTTGAGGGAGGGGAACTGGCCCAAAGTCACACAGGAAGTTTTCCTGGCGTGGGGACTAGAAGAGCCTGGGACTCCTCACTCCTAGTCCAACATCTTCACACAACATCATTGAGAATACGTGGTTTCCTATGCAGGTCTCTCTGGTGCTGCGAGCTTGGTTGTCTTCTGGCAGACATTTCATTCCCTAAACTAGGCACCGTCATCAGTGGTAGGCTTGACTAACTGACCAATGCTAATGATGTTACCTGGTTTGGGCATTGAAAGGTCTACAAGAAAAACCTCCCAGCTCAGAGAGCACCAAGGACCCCTCATTTCAACCCTGAGCTACAAATATTCCCCTTTATTGGCTTTCCTGTGCATTTATGCACACTGTAACAAGCCTTCTCCAACCTGGCCTTCTTCTCCAGATGCAGCAGTTCTACAACTCCTAGAATCTCCGCCCAACCGCTCGGGAACTGAAGTCTCAATTACATATTGGGTTAAGCCAGGGGTAGGCAACCTTGGTTCTTTTATGACCTGTGGACTTCAACTCCCAGAATTCCTGAGCCAGCCACGCTGAGGGAAAAGGGAGAGGTTTGCAAGCTGAGCCATGCTGGCTCAGGAATTCTGGGAGTTGAAGTCCACAAGTCATGAGGGGGCCATAGTTCCCCCATGCTGGTTCAGGAATTCTGGGAGTTGAAGTCCACGAGTCATAAAAGAGCCAAGGTTGCCTACTCCTGCCCTAGACCAGGGGTAGGCAACCTTGGCTCTTTTATGACTCGTGGACTTCAACTCCCAGAATTCTTGAGCCAGCCATGCTGAGAGGAAAGGGAGAGGTTTCCAAGCTGAGCCATGCTGTCTCAGGAATTCTGGGAGTTGAAGTCCATGAGTCATAAAAGAGCCGAGGTTGCCTACCCCTGGGTTAAGCCATGACTCAGGAACACCCCCAGCCTCCACTGGCCCACCCACCCACCCACCCACACCTACCCACCTACCCACTGTTCTCCCCCGCTGGCCTGCTTCTCTGGGACTTTGCTCACATGAGGTCCTCTCTTAATGCCCCACACGGCCTCTGGGTTACAACAGTAACCGGGACCGCCATTGCTAAGCAATGGGGTCACCTGCCATCGTGCTTGGCCACCGCGTTGTTTAGCAATGGAAGCTCTGGGCCCAACTGCCATCATAGTCTGAGGACTAGCTGTAGACACTACAAGGTGCGCAGATGAAAGGACACTGAGGGGGAGGAACAGTAGGGCAAAAATGGGACTCTGGGTCGGCTGCTTTCCACTCACTGCCCGCAACACAGGGAGGGAGTTACCTTTCTGCTTACTGACTTTTCTTACGGTCATGGCCGCTTGTCGTTTCTGGTTCTCAGAAATTTCAAAGCCTGGAGAGGGAAGAGGAGGGGGGAGAGAATGAACGCTCTGCAGAAACATATCCCCTCTTCTCCAAGGGGATTTCCTGAAGGCTTGAAGATAGGGATTAATCCAACAGGCCTGATTATGCCTTCATATATTTTTTTTTGCTTCTTCTCCTTCCCTTTCTTTTTCCCTCCCTCCCTCCTTCCCCTCCTTCCCTTCCTTCCTTCCTTCCCTTTCTCTTTCTCTCCCTCCATTTTCTCCTTCCCTCCCTCTCTCCCCTTTCTTTTCCCCTCCCTCCCTTCCTTTCTTCCTTTCCCTTTCTTCCTTTCCCTTCCTGCCTTCCTTCCCTTTCTCTTTCTCTTTCTCTCCCTTCATTTTCTCCTTTCCTCCCTCTATCCCCTTTCTTTTTCCCTCCCTCCCTTCCTCCCTTTCTTCCTTTCCCTTCCTTCCTTCCTTCCCTCCTTCCTTCCTTCCTTCCCTTTCTCTTTCTCTCCCTCCATTTTCTCCTTCCCTCCCTCTCTCCCCTTTCTTTTTCCCTCCCTCCCTCCCTCCCTTTCTCTTCCTTCCTTCCTTCCTTCCTTCCTTCCTTCCCTTTCTCTCCCTCCATTTTCTCCTTCCCTCCCTCCCTCCCCTTTCTTTTTCCCTCCCTCCTTCCCCTCCTTTCTCCCTTTTCCTTCCTTCCTTCCTTCCATTTCTGTTTCTCTCCCTCCATTTTCTCCTTCCCTCCCTCCCTCCTTCCCTTCCTTTCTTCCTTTTCCTTCCTTCCTTCCCTCCTACTCTTTCTCTCCCTCCATTTTCTCTTTCCCTCCCTTCCTTTCTCCCTCCCCTTCCTCCCTCCCTTCTTTTTCTCCCTCCGTCCCTCCTTTCCTTCCTTTCTCCCCCCTCCCATTTCATTCCTCATGCTAGTTTTTTCCTCAATGCATTATGTACACACAAAAGTTTTGCATGCACTCTTCCCCTGAAGATAGCCGCGCTGTTTGCAAGTCACCTTTCTGATGTGAAACTTCTTGTTCCACAGTTTTGGTGTGGGTTTTTTTTTTTTCTCCTTCTGGTGCACTGCTTCTTAATATCTACGGTCCTAGGCCTGCTTTTGATTTGTGTGCTGTCGTGCATAATTGAATTTTGCCATTAGTGCATAAGTGCAAGAGCACCACCCTCTGCTCCTAGAGTCATTGCACCAATTCACTCCGCTCCATAATTTATGGAGCACATTCCCCTTCGCCCAATGAGACGAGATATCCCACAGTGCTGCACTCCAGTTCATGTACTGGTTTGGAAATTGCAAAGTGGATATACATTTCCATGAAAATGCAAACCAATGGAATTTTTCTTCCATCCTTCCAAACCAGTCAGTTCAACCTGCATGCACCCATTTTCTGAAGTGCTTGCCAGTCACAGGACTGTTGCTTCCAATCACTGGCTCCTTTAGACCAGGGGTCCCCAACCTAACATCTGCGGTCCACTGCTGGGCTGTGGGACAGGCTGGCCAGTACATGCATGTGTGCGTGCACTCACCCCCACTTGCGCTAGCACCTGCAGACCTATTTGCGCATGCACGTGGGGCTAGCAGCAGCAGTGGCTAGCACCTGCATGCATATGCAAATGGGGCCGCTAGCACCATGCAGGTTGCGCGTCCTGTTTGTGCATGTGCACGGAGCTAGCAGCAGCGGTGGCTAGCACCTGCATGCATGCACAAACGGAGGTGTTAATGCCGTATGGGTGCACAAGGCCCCGTTCATGTGCGTGTGCACGCAAATTTCCCAGCTGCTCCTTTTCCCTCCGGGCCGCCAGGATGAAAAGGTTAGTGACCTCTGCTTTAGACAGGTTGGGGCTAAACTCTTAAGATTTCCCATCAGTGTGGGCAGGATGGCTGGGAATTTGGGGAGCCCTGTCATACCTTAAAGATTTTGCATTGGGAAAGAGACAATACCTTCCTGTCCATTGAAGTGCATCAAGCAAAAGCTTCATACTTTCTTCAAGGCCTCTTTGCTCCACTCTGCCTTATACGCTTGAGCTCCTTTGAAGGCAGCACAAGCATTTCCTTCAACCGGAGCCCATGGATTTCTACGTCATGAGAGACAGATTCGGGAACAAAAGTAGGCTTTTCTATATGAGGAGACCAACTGGCGGTGCAGTGGTGAGAATGCGGTATGGCAGGCTAAGTCTGCCCACTGCCAGCAGTTCGATCCTGGCAGGCTGAAGGCTGACTCAGCCTTCCATCCTTCCGAGGTCGGTAAAATGAGGACCCAGATTGTTGGGGGCAAATACGCTGACTCTGTAAACCACTAAGGGGTTTACATATATATATGTAAACCCCTTAGTGGTTTATATATATATATATATAAGCACTTAGATATATAATCTAAGTGCTGTTGCTATTGCTATCATGCAAGGAGAAACACAAGGTTGCAGTTCCCCATTGCAAGAATGGATAATAAGGAAGGGATAGTGCAACCTGTTGGTTCCTCTTTCAGGAGATTCCAGATGGGTTTGGAAGCCAGTGGACAAATGGTACAGCAGGAGGCCAACATTCAACATCTGGCCAGGAGGGAAGAAGGGTTCCTGATCTCTATTTATTTATTTAGTGTATGGTATATCATGCATGGACTAGCAATACTTATTAATATTTCACCTAGATTAGTAAAATTATGCCCTCATTTTTTTGCTTCTTCTCCTTCCTTCCTTCCTTCCTTCCTTCCTTCCTTCCTTCCATTTCTTTCTCCTTTTCTCCCTCCATTTTCTTTTTTCCTCCCTTCCTTTCTCCCTTCCTCCCCTTCCTTCCTCTCTTCTTCCCCTTTCTTCCTCCCTCCCTCTTCCCTTCCTTTCCCTCTCCCTCCCTCCCTCCCTCCCCCTTCCTTCCTTTCTTCCTTCCTTCCCTCCCTCCTTCCCTTCCCTCCCTTTCTCTCCCTCAATTTTCTCCTTCCCTTCCTTTTTCCCTCCCCATCCTCCCTCCCTCCCTCCCTCCCTCTCTCCCCTACCCTCACTCCTTCCCTCCCTTTTCATTCCTCATGCTAGTTTTTCCCCAATGCATTTTGTACACACATAGTTTTGTATGTACTCTTCCCCTGTACGCTGATCCACATGCATACGGATCATATGTTGAAATACCAATGTCTAGGCCAGGGGTAGGCAACCTTGGCTCTTTTATGACTTGTGGACTTCAGTACCCATAATTCCTGAACCAGCCATGCTGACTCAGGAATTCTGGGAGTTGAAGTCCACGAGTCATAAAAGAGCCAAGGTTGCCTAGCCCTGGTCTAGGCTATCTAACCATTGAAACACAGCATCATTTATATTAAAAAAAAATCCGATACTGGGCCAGTATATGCCCTCAGCTTACAGCTGGTCACAATGTGATCTAAAGTGTGACGTGGGACCCCACAGTCACACCGAGGGGAGGATGCTGTGGCCCATTTATACAGAGAGTCCCAGCAGACACCGTGTGAGGTGCGAATCCTATTCCTCACCTCTGAGTACCTGCTTAGAACCTCGTGTCTTACCTATCTTCTCATCTTCTTGCACCATCTTTCTCTCCTCGCGGAAAGCTCTGAGCCACCTCAGTTTCTCTTCCAGCTTCTTGGCAAAAAACAAGTGCATTTCCTCCGTCTCCTTGTTATGTAGCTTGAAAGCGTTCTTCATGCTCACGTTGAAGTCGTCATCCCGTCCATCTTCGATATCCAAAACCTCATAGCGGTCCATGTCGATCCGTCCCTTGTAGTACAAGATGTCTCTTCTTATCAGATCCTGCAGGAGAACAGGCATTATCGGGACAGCCGTTCAAAACTGTGTCATGTTTAAAACTCTGATTTCATCTCCTCAGGAGAAGTGAACACAATCGCTAGAATGGCGAAGCGATTCATTCAGACGGCTACAAAAAACCAACCTTGGATGGAACCAGCGGAGGAGCTGGCACCTTATTTAGACAAAGGCTGGGAAGCATTGAAAGTGTTGAATAGATTGGGCACAGGTACAACAAGATCTAGGGACACTCTGAGTAAATGGGGCTATCCGGTGGCTTCTGCTCTTTGTGATTGTGGTGACAGGCAGACAACAACTCATATGTACACCTGTCCTTTGTGTCCCGATTGGTACTACACAAGTTGGCCATGCCAAGTTGTCTCATTTCCGAACAAGGAGACCTGATATAGAGAGGACAAGCTCCTCAAGGTTTTCAAAAAGGTATTTCATCTTAGCACACTAACAATGACAAAACATCCCAAACATCTCTTGAGAATGAGTAAATTTTGAGACATCACCCTGCCAACCAAAGTACGTATAGTCAAGGCCATGGTTTTTCCAGCTGGAATGCATGACTATGAAAGTTGGACCCTAAGAAAGGCTGAGTGCCAAAGAATTGAGGCCTTTGAACTCTGGTGCTGGAGAAGACTCCTGTGAGTCCCCTGGACTGCAAGGTGATCAAACCGGTCAGTCCTAGAGGAGATCAACCCTGACTGCTCTTTAGAAGGCCAGATCCTGAAGTTGGAACTCAAGTCTTTTGGCCACCTAATGAGAAGGAAGGACTCACTGGAGAAGAGCCTAATGCTGGGAAAGATTGAGGGCAAGAGAAGAAGGGGATGACAGAGAATGAGGGGGCTGGAGGGAGTCACTGAAGCAGGAGGCATGAGCTTCAATGGACTCCAGAAGATGGTAGAGGACAGGAAAGCCTGGAGGAACGTTGTCCATGGGGTCGCGATGGGTCGGACACAAGTTCACAACTAACAATAACAAATTTTGAGTAAAATCCACAGGGACTCCTTTATCTTTTTTACGGAGGCAATATTTTGGAAATATTCAAAGTGCCATATCGAGTAAGCTGGGCCACTATTTTAAAATACATATATTTTGTTGAAGAGCAGCTAGATGAGCCTAGCACAACATTGCACCATGCCTAAGTCATCAACTTCGCTAGCTATTCATTCCAGCTGGACAAATATGGAACTCTGCAAACATCAGAATGTTCCTACGGAAGAGTAAAATGTAAGTGTTTTGAAAACAGTCTACCCAAGGAGAAGAAGGGTCCAAGTTTTAACTTTATCTTACAAACAGTAAGAAACCTTCACGATTCCTGACAAACTAATTTCCGAATAGCTTCAATGACACAACAAAAAGGTTGCCTGGTATAAATCAGGCACGTGGCCCAGATGACAGCTCGCCAGTAATATAAACCCTGATATTATAAAAGACCAACTCCATTGGAAGGAGCACACCATCGCCCTTTGAAATTTAAACAGCCAATTTAATGAGAAGTGAACCAAAGCAGAGTTTTACGAAAGAAGTCATAAAGTCATAAATAAATCTTTAGCTTCCTGGTGCCAAACTCAGAATTCCTCAAGCAGGACGAAGATGAAGTTTCTGGTCATTTTTTATTTATTTGTTTGGTCAAGTTTGGGGGGGGGGAAAGGACACTGTTAAGAGAAGTGTCAGATTGAAATATGAAATGTTTGCAGTACAAATTAGAAATAAAAACGGAGCAAACATCATAATTTAATATCCATTTGCATAGCAGGGGCTTCAGCCAAGCCTAATTTTACATAAGTTTACTTAAACAGAGAGACTCATTTGGAACAGCTGGTGCCAGGCCTATTTTTAAAAAGAATTTTAAATGGTAAAAGTTATTTGAGCAGCTGACATAGGGGTACAGCAGATGGTCCCCTGATCTAGTCCCAAGTGGCTGAACATGTAGGCAACTGACTTAATTGTGTCTTTAAGGGATGAGTCAGGAGAGAAAAGGAAAGGGAGAGAGAAGAAGGAGAGAGAAGAAGAAAAAGAAGGAGCAGGAGGAGCAGAAGGAGGAAGGAAGGAAGGAAGGAAGGAAGGAAGGAAGGGATGGATGGATGGAGGAGAGAGGAGAAGGAGAGAGGAGAAGAAGAAAAAGAAGGAGCAGGAGGAGCAGAAGAAGGAAGGAAGGAAGGAAGGAAGGAAGGAAGGAAGGAAGGAAGGAAGGAAGGAAGGAAGGAAGGAAGGAAGGAAGGAAGGAAGGGAGGGAGGGAGGGAGGGAGGAGAAGGAGAAGAAGAGAAAGTGAGTGTGTGAGTGTTAGCTTTATGATCAAAGCAAGGAGAACATGAACTGAAGCAAGATTCTGTGGAGTATTTAATGCCATGGTAGTGGAGACCAAAGGACCAGGGTGGGGAGCATCCAGACCTCCTGCTGTTGCTGAAAAGACATTTCTAACATCAGTCACTCTTGACCATGTATGGTGGAGCTTCAGGTGAGATCTACTAGTTCCTCACCTCTGGGAAACAAATGGGAAGTGAGTCAAAGAACTTGGGGAGAAGTCAAATGGGGCAGGAATTGTACCTAATGACCTGTCTGTCTCCAGAGCAGTGTTTTTCAAACCCAGTAACTTTAAGCTGTGTAGGCTTCAAGAGGGTAAAATATAAAATGCTTTTATAACCACTGTCTTTATAACCTTTTCTTTCTGTTCTCTCCTTTTTTTTTATTTTCTCTTACATATTCACCATGCTTTCTTTTCAATTTGGGGGGAGGTAATATTTGTACTACTTTGCTAAAAATTTCTTAAATTAAAAAAAAATATTTAAAAAGATGGCTTGACTTCAGCTCCCAGGATTCCCCAGCCAGTCAGAATCATGGGAGTTGAAGTCCACCCATCGTAAAGCTGCCACGCTTACAAAACACTGACCCAGAGGGTCCCAGGTTGGAGAAGACTAATCTATGAATACAAAGAATTATTTTTGGTGGTTATCAGACTGAAAAGAGAAGGTGAGCATTTGCTGTCTGTATATATTGAATTTATGGAAATGGAGACCAAAGGAAGACAAGATGTACTTGATACTCAAAGTGCAGCCCATACAGAATAACATAATTGGAAGGGACCTTTGAGGTCTTCTAATCCAACTCTCTGCTCAAGCAGGAGACCTATACCATTTCGGACAAATGGTTGCCCAGTCTCTTCTTAAGAGCCTCCAGTGATGGAGCACTCAAAACTTCTGGAGGCAAAACTTCTGATTGATTGTTCTCACTGCTTCTCTCCTTGATTCATTTCCATCCTTTGTTTCTAGTCCTGCCTTCTGGTGCTTTGGAGAATAGCTTGACTCCCTCTTCTTTGTGGCAGCCCCTGAGATACTGGAACACTGCTATCATGTCTCCCCTAGTCCTTCTTTTCATTAAACTAGACCAATGATGGCAAACCTTTTAGAGACCGAGTGCCCAAACTGCAAACCAAAACCCACTTATTTATCGCTGGCTGCCAGGTGGGCGTGGCCCACTGGGTGGACGTGGCTGTGGTGGTCATGGCAGATTAGGTGGGTGTGGCCAAGGTGGGCGTGATCACCTCAATGTTGCTCGTGGGGAGGGACGTCTGTGGGGGCCAGGCAGGGCTGGGGGAGATCCAGGGGGTCTCTGGCAGGTGGGGCGGTGGGCAGGAGGCTCGTCCTGCGGGTTAAGGTGAGGCAAGGTGAGGCAGGGTGGGGGTGCCCTTGTCACAGGGCAAGGTGACTCAGGGGCCGGGGTGGCTGCTTCCTGACACCATCGGCCCCTGCACACAGAGGCCAGCGAGCGCATGGGTGCTGGGATGCATCCGGCCATGTGGGACCTCGGCAAGTTAGCGGGCAGCTGGTTGAAGAGGGATGATTGCCATCTCCAGGGCATGGCGCACGTGCCCACATAGAGGGCTCTGAGTGCCGCCTCTGGCACGTGTGCCATAGGTTCGCCACCACTGAACTAGACATACCCAATTCCTGCAACCGTTCTTCATATGTTTTAGCCACAAGGCCCCTAATCATATTTGTTGCTTGTCTGCACTCTTTCCTCTTGACATCTTACTGCTTTACAAATATTTCCTATATTGCACACCTAAGTGCTATTTAAATAATAACCCACAGAAGATTGGATTGTAAACTTGGTGGAACACCCAGAAAAGGCGAAGCTCACCATTTTGTGGCAAAGTTGATTAAGCTCTGATAGATAAAGATAGAAAAGATAAAAGACTTTTTTGAAAGACTAAAAAACTCACATGGACTTTTTGTTGAAAGAAGAAAAGACCGAACTGATTATTTAGGGACTGGAGGGTTAGAAAGTGTTAAAGAGGGAGGGAAAAGTAGAAATCAAAATTCTATGTTTTCTTTCCTTTAAAATATTATTTCAATAATACCTGTAACTTTACTGTTGATCAGTCAATAGGCCATATCAAAATGCAGAACGTAAAACACAAACATTAATAAAACTATATATAAAAATGGAGTAAAATAGATTATTTTTTTAAAAGAATCGTATTTCTGTGTCACCTCTACAGTTTATCCCAATCAGACCCACATATGTGCTATTTAAATAATACATTTCTGAATCAATCAAAACTTTGGGGTGCATTTTTCTTTCCTATTCCAATACTTTTAATGCCAAGAGCTGCACCAGACCTCTGAAAACCCGGCTGCATCTGATGGATACCTCAGTTCCAACCCAACCCTTCATTTGAGATGTGCATATCTGCTAGCATCTTAATCTGGAGTGGCAGGACCAACGAGTCGCATCAGCATATTAACGGACCTGGCTTAAAATGGAGTGGCAAGGAAGAACTGGGTGTAGCTGCTTTATCAGCTTTATGAACTGATAGGCTGTGATGGCTGCTGAAAGCAATTTTTGGCAAGCCAGGCTTATATTTTATATTTTAGCAAGCCACAATATAAAAAAGATGTTGAGACTCTGGAAAGAGTGCAGAGAAGAGCAACAAAGATGATGAGGGAGCTAGAGGCTAAAACATGTGCAGAACAGTTGCAGGAATTGGGTA